TCCTGTGCTTCCCCGACTCTGCATCGGCGACGGCGCCTTTGTAGCTTGACACTGACCTTGGTGGGAACATTTACATCACAGGAATGGGCAGATGCTACAAACCAGGGCTGGTCTTCTCAGACGGGTCGATGTTTAAACATGTACCAAAAATGCCTCTCTCTCTCATGTAGAAAAAGAGACCGACCCTTGAAAGACTCCCCCCGAGACGGAAATCCGGCTCAGGGCTGGGGGCTGGGAGGGGGGCTGATGAGCGGAGGGCCAGTGATTAACCAGAGGAAATTCGTGAGGTCCACGCACGACCGACTCCCTTCCAGGGGCCCGTGTGCACTGTCCGGTACAGTAGCCACTAGTCACATGTGGCTGTGGAGCACCTGCGGTGTGGCTAGTGTTAAAAATTTAGTTTTTATTCACTTTTAATTAACTTAAATTTAAAAACCGACATTAGAGTCTGTTACCGGGAGACATCTAAGAATGTTGGAACAACCTGTGAATCTGTTTTGTCGACTATAGATTTTATGATACCTAAGTATAGATCAATTTTATGACAAACTGTACGTTTTATGACATCTAAACACAGATTTCTGATGCAAATTTAGCTCTTGCATCAAGAACGTGCTGTACGCATAAAATACACCGGATCTGAAGGCTTGGAATGGAAAACAAATAAATGATCTCATTTTTATATTGATTACATGTCAGAATGATACTATTTTTGATATACTAGGTTAAGTAAATTAAATTAATTTCATCAGTTTCTTTTCGCTTTTTTGAATGCGGCCATTAGAAAACTTCCATTACATATGTGGCTCGCGTTATATTTCTATTGGGCGGTTGACTGGTCTCGAATGATTTGGGTTGTTTTTTCCTCCCATTTACACCATCTGAACTCAAAAGCAGAAGTGGTCATAGGAAACCACTAGAAGGATTTTACAAATTCTGGAAGAAAATGAGCTCATCTCGTCAGATTGCAGGCGGAGCGCTGTGGTGACATACAGAGGCCCTCCGCCCCATTCGGGGGGCGGTCTGTCCCTGGATGCCCGGCTGCGGAAGGATCCCCCAGGACACTATGGCGACAGCCAATTTCTCATCCCAAAGCCCCACTCCCGACAGCAGAGCCCAGGTCCGGGGCTGGACTTGTCAAAGACACCCACACAGAAGGCCTGGGCCTGATCACGAGATGGGTCCGAGAACCATCACGTGGAAGAGAACGCCCAAAAGTGGGTGCTTCCTTCAAGCCTGTATCTCAGAACAACGAGCCTTCTCCCTTCCACGTTTTGGCACATGCTGTCCCCCTATTCAGACTGCCCTTCCATCTCTTATCCCTCTGGAGAACTCCTATGCATCCTTCAGGACCCAGTTCAAATGTTCCTTCCTCTGACGCCTTTCCTGACCAAATGCTGTTCCCAAATCACATCCTTGGGCTTCCGGCCTAATTTCTTCTTACCACTTCTTTATCGGCCTCAATGCTTTTCTTCTTGCTCCTTCAAATGTGATTTCTTTCTAAAACACAGAATATGTGTCTCTGCCCTGGGGAAACTGCGACTGGGTCCCTACTACCTAAAATAGAGTCTCTCAATCTTAAACCAGCACCAGAGTCACCCAGAAATCTCCTTAAAACACAGATAACTGGGTCTACCCCAGTGTTTCTGATTTAGCAGGTCTGGGTGGGAGCCTGACCATCTGCATTTTTAACAAGGTCCCAGGTGCCGCTGCTGGTCCGAGGGCTGTACTTTGAGAACCACCGATCTAAAAGATCAAGTGCAAGCTCTTCACCTTGGCCTTCGAGGTCCTGCACGACACGGCCCCAACTACTTCCTGTCCTCACCTTTCACGACGCGCTGCCCAAATCCAAACACGCCACGCCTTTCACACCTCCACACCATGCCCGGCTGCCCTCTGTCCATCTTGATCTGCCCAGTCCTAGTGTTACCTTCCTAGACTTGACAGTGTCTAAAATCCAAGTCCCCAAAATGAGGGCATGGCACCTTTCAAGGTCTACATAGTGAAAACGTAGGCAGTAGGGGTGGCTGCAAAAGAAGTGGGTGAGAAAATAACAGCCTTCGGTGACAACTTTGGGACAGAAAATTCCGGTGTATCTATTTAAACAGCCTCAGACACAGCTGCAGCCCAGTTACAAAATGTCCTTTTTCTCTGTCTGGTTTTCCAGCTCTGCTACTCTCTAGCTGTGTGGCCTTGGGCAGGGGGCATCCTTAGCCTCCTTGTTTCTCATTTTTATCTGTAAGACAAGGATAAAGCAACCACCTCACAGAATGAAGATTAAATGACATGACGCAAGTAAAACTCACAGCAAAAAGCCTAGCGCAAGTAAGCCCTCTACAGATGTTAGCTGTTGGTATTATCTTCGGACCTGGGAAAGTAATGAACTCGGTATCCATCCGTAATCAGTAATGGAAACAGACACAGGAAAGATGTTTTTCTTAATAGGTACCTGATCAGCAGTCCCGTAAAGGCTGCAGATGGGTAGCAGGGCAGATAGACAAATGGGTGGGCAGACGAGAAAACTCCTTTGTACAACGTCAAAAGTGGGCCTGTGAGGCGGTTTGGTAACACTTAAAAATCTTTAAAATTCTCCTAAATAGGTTCTCAGGCAAGAATGTAAAATTCAAAGATGTCCCTCGCAGTTGTTTATAACAGAAAAAAAAAAAAGAAGCGGCCTGAATGCCCCAAAACAGAGATCAGAACAATCAGAAGGTAGACTTCTATACAGCAGTGAAGAATGAAGAGGCAGGTATTTCTCTACTGACATGAGAAGCTGTTAATATACCTTAAATAAAAACTGAAAGGTAAAAGTAACAGGTATGGTATAAATTCACCTTATTTTTTTTTTAGTTGTGGGTACGAGTATGTATATGCATAGAAAAGGTCTAGAAAAACACATTCCAAGAGTTACCAGCGGTTATCTCTGGTGTAAAAATTTGGATGGTATTTCCATTTTTCTCTGAGAATCATATGTTGACTCTTGAACAATGTCGGGGTTAGGGGAGCCAACGCCTGCAGAGTTGAAAATCTGCATGAAACTTTTGACTCCCCAAAAACTTAACTATACCAGTTGTCCCTCAGTATTGGGGGGCACTGGTTCTGGGACACCCCCCCAAATACCAAACTCCACAGACACTCAAGTCCCTGACATAAAATGGCATAGATCGATGCATAGCCAGCCCCCCACATCCACACTCCCAACCACGATCAAAAACAGTGCCGGTACCTATTGAAAGAAATCCACACATAAGTGGACCCGCACAGTTCAAACCCCTGTGGTCCAAGGTTCATAATTGTTTTCTTAAAAGAAAAAGTGTTTAAAAAAGCAGTTCCATGAATCAGGACAGAGGAAACAGGCAGCAGCTTCATGGGCCTCAGCCGTGTGATTGTGACCAAGGGGCCTGCCCTCTCTGTGGCTCTGTCCCCTCCTCTGAAAGGTGACAAGTCTCTCTGCTCTGCTTCCCCCCCCCATGTGCCTGGAGGAAGGGCTGTGATACCTGCAGCTAGCAGTCAGGTGGTGGTGGTTTTATCCACTCCCGTGACATCCAGAAGGTTCCCCAAGCAGATGCTCAGAGAGCAAAGGGGCCCTGGAGCTCTTGGGGGTGGGGTGGGCGGGGTGGGGGCAGCGGCAAGTTCTCACCACCCCCCCCCCACCGCGCCAGACAGTGGCTTCCTTCATTTCTGTGAAATGGGAGGGATAAACCTCAACGGTGGTCTCTAAACTCTCCTGTGGCTTGCAAAGACAGCTGGATCCTTATCTCAAATGGAACAATTTCCCTGTTAAGTGTCAGCAGTTCTATACCTAAAAACCAGTCATTCTGTGCAAAAAAAAAAAAAAAAGCCAAGCAGGGGTCTATTTCCCATTAAGTAGGAAAATTATAAAGTTTACATGTCAACTCCAAACCCTCCACTGATTTCCTAAAATGTAACTAAAACATAGTAACGTTTTCTCAATACACAATAAACTAACATAATAGAAGGTAAAATGCTTAAAACACTCTCCTGCCCCCCAACCCCCAAATCATTATTAACAACCGACAATAACGGTGCTGTGGGCGGCGACGTGAGCCCAGCCGCTCCCAGCTCCTGCCACCACCCGGCTCCCTCTGCAAAGCAGCTCCATGGCATTCGACGAGCCTTCCAGATGCATCCAGGATGCACTTGAGAATTCTGCTGCCCATCGTTTTGTTACAAATGTTGTACTGAGTTTAGGGGATATAATTACGTTGTTTTACACATAAGAGACAAGTTTGGAGAGACGCGAACCTTCTAGGAAGTGTGGGTTTTAAAAACTGAGAGGCAGCAACAGAACCTCAGTAGGTGAGACATTCTGTAGGGCGGGTTCGTCCCCAAACCAGGGGCACTCCAGAATCCCTCCAGAGTTGAGGGGCGATGCTGAGTTTGGAAAGTGGGGCTTGAAGCTGCACCTGCACTGTGCACATCAAAACATGAGGCTGCAGACGGAGAACGGGGGGCTGTTAAAGGGCCCCCTGCTTTAGCGGTGCCACTGAAAGGAATTCCATGTGGCAGCCACAGCAGCGGTAGCAACGACGCCACCACTACAACTAAGAGAATGGCCAGCATCCGCCACGCTCTCACACGTGCCAGGTACTCCTCTAAGCACCCGCCGTGAATTAGCCCATTTAACCCCCGTAACGACTCTGAGCTACGCGGGAGTATTATCCCCACCTTATAGACGGAGAAACGGAGGCACAGAGATGTTAGGAACTTGCCTAGGGTTATCCAACTTGCAAGCGGCAGAGCTGGGATTCGAGGCCAGGCAGGAGAGCTTCAGCGTTCCTTCCTGCTCCGAACCACTGTCTCGCCCATCCCGAAAGTGGGGAGGTTCTGCAGAAAGGGGAGGGCAGGGGACCCAGAGTCTCCCTACTTCACCTTCTCCTTCCTCCAGACCTTGCCCTCCGAGAAGATGCTAAGAAAAAGCTGAGGACCTCAGGACCAGGCCACAAAGGCCGCCAGGGACAGGCAGGCGGCATCCTTACCCACAGCTTCCCATCGTGGTAGTAGGCTCCCAGGAGCTTCACAATGTAGGGGTGGTCGCAGGTGGCCAGGATCTCGATCTCCACGATGTAGTCCTCCAGCTCCTCCTCACTCTTGGTCTCAATCACTTTGGCGGCGGCCAAGGCACCCGTCTCCTTGTTCTTGGCCTGCAGAGCAGAGACACAGGAGGTCAACGAGGCATGCTCGGCAGGAACCTGACCCCCGGAAGCCGGCTGAGGGGCCGAGGAGCGTGGAAACAGAGGCCGGATGTCCAGCTGGGAACGGCGAGGCTGGAGCAGGAGATACGCTGTTCTTGACAATGGCCAGTGCTGCTCATGATGTCAGCACAGGGGAGCACGCGTGGGATGCGACATCTTATGTTCTGTGTTTAATTAACATGTATACTTTTAGAAGTACAACATACCCATACAATGAGATAAATAAAAATAATAGAACAGCATAGCTCTATAAATACCAACATGAAAGGCTGGGGAGCCGTTCGGTAAAAGATCTAAGTCACTGAACAACAAAAGTAATACAATATTTTGACACACACACACAAAAGGAAAAATGACGCTTTCATAAATGCTCACATGTATGTAAATGCGTGAAAAACTCTGACAAAATACTGCCTGACAGCGGTCTGGGGAGCGGACTGAGACGGGGGTAGATTCAAAGGGCACTTGCATTTCCTCTGTATTGTTTAAAAGATGTCAATAGGAAGGTTTCATGCATTTATTTGTATCATTTCATGTACAAGTAAAACGGAAAAGGTTCATAATACAGAAGCGTCTACCAGTTATGCTGAAGGGCTTGCTAGGTGCATTTCGCGGGGGCGTTTTTTTTTTTAACGACTGTTTATTACTTGATAAAAAATGAGAGAATTTCATACCTACAAGGAAGCCTATAAATTACATAAATAAATAGATAAGTGCTGGTGATGATGTGGAGAAACTGGAACCTTTATGCATTACTGGTAGGAATGTAAAAGGGTATAAAGCCACTGTGGAAAACTGTGGCAGTTTCCCAAAAGGTGACACATAGAACTCCCAGGTGGCCCCGCAGTTCCACTCGCGGGTATGTAAGCAAAAGAGCTGAAAACAGGGATTCAAGCAGATATCTGCACCCCAGCGCTCACAGCAGCATTATTCACAAAAGCCAAAAGGTGGAAGCAACCCAAGTGTCCGTCGGCTGATGAATGATACACAAAAAGTGGTATATACATTCAAGGGAATATTAGTCAGCCTTGAAAAAGGAATGGCATTCTGACACGTGCTACGACCTGGATGAAACTTCAGGACGTTACGCTGAGTGAAATAAGCCAGTCACGAGAGGGACAAATACGGTATGATTCCACTTACACGAGGTCCCTAGAACAGTCCAATTCATAGAGACAGGAAGTAGAATGGAGCTTACCAGGGGCTGGGGGAGAGGGGTGGGTGGTGAGTGTTTAATGGGGACAGAGTTTCTGTTTGGGATGATGGGAAAGTTCTGGAGATGGATAATGCACATTATCCATCTGGAAGTGGGTAATGCACAGCATTGTGAATGTACTTAATGCCCGTGAACTGCACACACTAAGCCATGACGAAAAGGGTCCATTTTATGTTATGTCTATTGGACAACAATTTAAAAAGTGAGGGCAGGAGAGAAACCACCGCGTGAGTGGTGCAAGCAACTCCACCACGATGAGCTGGTGTCCGGGAAAAAGGAGCAGGACCCCGGTCCCCTCAGGCGGCCCCGTGAGCATCCGCCCACCGTGCTGCTTGGGGCCAGCACTTCCCTATAACGCCGAGCACATGGAGACTCTGACGGCGACCTGCGGTCTGAGTGGCCGGGCTGGCCTCCGCCGAGGGGCCTCCCGGGGACCGTCCTTACAGGACGGCTCTGCAACCTGATCCACTGGACACGCCCACGGCCTTCGCGCCTGCACCCCTCGCCCCGTGGAGGAAGATGGGCATTCACGGCAGCGCATGTGATCGCCACGGTAACCTGCACCTCCCTGTCCCTGCTCTACAGATCGGCAAGCCCGGGCTTAGAGAGGTGACGTGACTGGAACTAGGGTGGTGGCACCAGAATCTAAATCTGGGTCCTCTAACTCTGAGTGCACTTTCTACTACTGTACCAGGCCTGCCTGTCATCTCCGGAACTCAGAAGTCCCCAGGGCCAGACGCCAACAGACACCGACGAGTGCTCCCAGGCCAGCCCTGCACTGGGCAGGCACCCACAACTGGGAGACAGAGAAACTCTCCCCTGGCCTCAAGGAGCTCAAGGTCCAGCTGGAGACACTCACTCTCCAGTGCCAGTGGGGAGACGGCTGCCCATGAGGGCGGAGTGGGAAGTGGGAGGTGGCGGGGTGCTGCCTCTCGCCAGGGAGCCTTCTGGAAGGGACAGACGCCAGCAGGCAATTTTTATACTCTCGTGTAAATTTATTCTCAGTCAAGGTAAATGTTTGTTTAATGGAACCTGCAAAGTCCCCAGGGTCCCGGCCCGCTCTACAAGGGACGCTGGCCTACACTTCAAACATGTGCTGACTCATTCATCTCAACCACCTTATCATAGAGCTGCTCTTATTGTCTCCTGTGCAGATGAGGACACCGAGGCAGAGCCCCCAGACGCTTTGGTGACAAAGCCGGATGTGGAATCCTGCTCCTGGAGGCCTAAGAAACCGTCCACATCCGGCCCAGGGGCCCGGTTCAGGGAAGGGAATTTCAGGTGGGTCAGTCCTTGTCAGACAATTCCGCCCGCCCACACGGCCCTCCCTGGCGGGGGGGGGGCCCTCTCTCCTAAACTCAGATTAAGCAGCCAGGTGCTCACACATACACACTCTCTCTCTCTCTCTCTCAACTGATCACGGACCTTCCGTTTCCTTCTGACTTTCTCTGTCACACCAGAGAACCATCAAAACACCTGTTCACGCCACACGACATGCACCACCTCACGGCTGCGGGGCTTGGCGGGGGCCTTGACCCTACCCTTCCAGCCCCCAGCCAGAGCAGCAAGGGGCTGGGCCGAGCGGGGCGAAGGCCACCCCTCCATCGTTCACCTTTCGCACCTGAGAGCGGGCGGAGGAGGCTGCGTGTCACTTTTCCCCTGGGTTTCCTTGGAAGGGATGTTTTCTCCTGGAGGTGGGAAGGCCTCGGCGGGGACTGTTTTCCAGGCGTGTACAAAATCTGCTTGCCCGCCACCCTGAAGGGCAGCACTGACCACAGGGCTGGGCCTCCAGCAAGGCTCCTGTCACCCACACCGAGAATCACCCGTTGCCCAGCACCTGGCTCAGATTTCAGCGGTCAGTGCCCGCCAGGAAGAGGTCAGCAGCCATCATGGCATACAAAGTGACGTGGCCAAACTTAAATTCTTTAAAAGCCTGGTAGAGGCAGCAATCCATCACCTTGTGGTCCCAGAGGACATAATAATGGCTGACGATGAAAGCAGCTAACGCTGCGTGAGCTTTCTCTCTGCACCGAAGCAGGCCTTAAACAGAATGTATCACTTCACCTTCCATCTACCCCTTGGAGGAAAATATCAGCATTCCCAACTGACAGATGAGGAAACTGAGGTTCAGAGAGGCACAGTGATTTGCTTCAGGACACACAGCAAGGGAGAGAGTGAGGGCTGGATCGAAACGCAAGCCTGCCTGAGGCTTCTTGGCAACTGCCCAGTGTTCCCTGGTCCATCTTTCTCCGCTGAAGATAAATGGCAACCACAGCCAATAGCACGCTTGGCAGACGCAGAGCACCGTAACTGCCAGAATTTAATCTGCCCACACGCCACGGATGCAGGTGTTAGCCATCATGCCTATTTCTCAGGTGAGCAGAATGAGGCTCAGAGAGGTGTCGGGACTCACCTAGGATTGTGACCTGTGGTCATCTCCTGACTCCCAGTCCAGGGCACTTTTCACTACACTAGGTTCAGGAATCAGCTTACTCCCTATTCATTCACTCGATCATCATTTACTGAGCCCATATTAGAGCAAAGCACTTTTCTAATGAACAAGACGGCTGCTGACTAGAGGGAGCATTTGTCGGTCAGGGTCATTGCCCTCCCATAACAATTCATCCTTCCCTGGTCTTTCTGCAGAACCCACCCACCCTCATTCACAGGCCCTAAGATTCGGTGGAGCGGATTCCACCCACATTTCTGGAAGTGGGTGAGTCATGCTGGCCAATCAGAACACAGGGACCGGCTCAGGGCTAGGGCCGTGATCGAGTCGGCCAGGGAAAGGCAACCTCAAAACAATTGCTGAGCCCCCTGGGATAGCTCCAAACCCTGCTGTACCTCGAGCCTCCAGTGCTGCCTGAGGCCGGCCTAGGACCCCTGGGCCATCCCGCCCCCAGCAGAACCTGAAAATGAAGCTAGCTGAGCCTAGAGAGGGCACGAGAGGGCACCGACTGACCCCTTCCATTAATTTTTACACCAGGGAGGTCCTGTTATTAAGAGGTCCGTTTTTATGTAAGAAAACTGATGCTCAGAGAGGTCAAGTCACTCGCACAAGGTCACAGAAAAGGAAAATAACAGGGCTGGGGGTTGAACTGGGGCCTGTGTGGCATCGAAGTCCACGTTCCTGACCATTTTGCCAGAAGTGCCTGTAAATTCTGCAAAGGTCATCTCTGGGCCTCAGTTTCCCTCTCTGCACAGGAGGAGGGTGGGGAGATGTTGCCCACGATCTCAGTGGTCCCATGTGAGGGCACCCTGGGGAATGGCTGGGCCTTGGAAAGCTAAGGGTGGTCCAAGTGGACAGGGCACCTCGTGGGAGGTGACAGGCAAGGAGTCGCATAAAGAACAAGTGGCTGCCTGTGGCCTCTGACGTCCGTCTCTCCCACCGGCTGAGGCAGGGCTGGGGTCCAGCGAAGGGTGGGGGAGCTGCCATCCTGCCCTCCACTGCTGGTGGGCAGTGACTAACGCCTCAGCCCACACCCTTGAGAGCAGACACACAGTGGCCACTGTGTTTTCTGGCCCAGGCACCTCTGTGGGAACAATCCTCCCCCTTGTGTGGCGTGAGACCCAGCCTGGAGGAGGTAGGGACAGCCCTGCCTGCCAGGAGCCCTGCCCCACCCAAGGGGCCCAGCCAGCCCCACCAGAGGCCGGGGGCTTCCTGAAAGTCAACCGCACAGTGGCAGCCAACTGGGGACAGCGCCCAGGCTCTCCCCTTCCCTCCTGGCTGAAG